AAGGCGCGCCTCTCATTGCGCAATTTTAAACAGAGATTGTAACGCAAAAGGTCGCCAAAAAGCTGATATGCGGGGCAAAACTAGTTTCAAAAGCTCTTTCATACAAAACATGCATCAAAAGTGCAAACATCTTTACAAAACAGCAAGTCATAAAAAAAAAAGTATAAAACGATTTTTTGGTATTATAAGGAAACATTCAAAATCATTATTTTTCTTGCAATAAAATTTGGCTGTTGTAGAAATTATATGAAATATCTTATTTTGTTGAATAAATATCTTGTACTCTCGATCCAATTTTATACCCCTTTGTGTTGTCTTTTGCATAGCCTTCACCTACATGTGAACATGTTTGCAATGCAACGGCATGTAGGCTGTGTAAGCACAGCTCTTGGTTCACATTGTACTTCACAAAATTCTGCATATGCATCACTATGTTAACAAGGATGACTCGGCCTGGACCTGAGTTCACGTTTGTGCATATACAACAATAGGCATATAGATATACAAGAATGGTAGGAGAATATAAATATGTGAAAAGCTAAATTAGCTGAAAATAAAGACCACAATTCATCCGCATGCAATGAGTCACGTTTTGGCGATTTTTAATGTTATTTTAACATTGCTAATAAGATATTTACCATTTAATCCCACAATTTGAAAGGTCATAAAAGTTCCCAATCTTCCTTTGACATATCAAGATTTTCAAGCTCTCCATCTTCTCTTAAAATCTGCAGCAATGTAAAAACATTTGTGTCTATGCATCTTCACAATAAATAAATTTAAAACTTTATATAATCAAACAGTAGATTTCCTTACAGTGTGCCTTCTGGTGTGACAGTTGAATTCTACAATGACTCCTCCAAAGTACCTGCAACACTCGCAAAATCTTCACTTAAGATTAACGATCTTGGCAGTTACAATATCAAGCAGATAAAAGGTTAGCTAGATTGTGCTGAATTCAAATGGATAGATCGGTCCTTATGTTGGGATGAGAAACCTTTACTAATTAAACCCATGGATAATTAAATCATTATAAAGCTTGGTTTGACATTTCAACTTACAGAAAAATCATATAGATATCAAATCGGTGACTAGAGCTTTCTGAGTCAACATCGCTGATTCACCCTTGGGTTTATGAGCTGAGACTATCTCTCCAATTTGGGCCTTAAGTTTGTTTGGTTGAAATCCGGCCCTTGGAATTTTTAAACTACTTAAATGCATTTTAAAACCCTTCCCTCGGGCTTGCTCAGTGGAGTGGGCACCTTTTGACTGAATCTCTTGAGCTCTGTTGATCTAGGATATTCTGTGATCTAGCCGTTGGGAAATGCAAGGTTTATTGCATCAACTTTTATAGCATGCATGACTTTTCTTGAAGTATTGAGTATTAATGGGTGGCATGAGGCACACTCCACCAAGCCGATGACATAACATACTCTACCTTAATATCTTTTTTTAAAATAAAAATGAGACCTTCCTAGTTCAACCCAAAATCTTCACTACGTCATGATGGAATGAATGATCTATAGAGTACCAATACTTTTCCCCTTGGGCGGGGGCAAAACATATGTTATAAAACCTAGTCACCATTGCACAATAGCTTTCTAAGTTTTGTTTACATCACACTTTAACTTAAGACTTTGAGCTCATCAAGCCATACAAGGGCGGTTGGCCCTATGAGGCCATGTTATATGGCAATGATAAAGTAGGTTTAGATGGATCATTAGAGGGTTGCATCTTCGAACACGAGCAAATAAATGGTCATCTTAGTCAAAGTATTGTAGGTTGCAGTTTTGCACTGAACATTTACAAAGCATCCATTAGCTTGTGTCATTCTCCTTTATATTTCCTTAAGCAACATGATAGGTAAGTACTGTCATTCAATGCGTATCATAGTGAACTAAAAGACGAGGCTCTTTTGAAGGTGGATATGATTTGACATGGCACTTCAAAATGAAAAACACTATGGCCTAAAAAATGCATATACAACTGTTGGAGAAATTTTGTCTATTCTCAACAGATTGAGATATTTTATGATCGAGCACAGCATATAAAATAATATATTATCCCGAAAGACAAACAATAGGATATAGAATAAGATGAATTTGTTTGTGAAACTCGCCTAATAGAGTAAGATGAATTTCAGCTAATGGAAGCTCTAAAAGGACACCTAAATGTTATGTTTTACATGTCATAAGGATATAGAATTATTTGTTTTGTTAAGTCAAGGGGTTAGAGTTTTTGGGTCTAAAGTTAAAAATTTTCTAAGGCTTTTAGAGCCTATGAAGTGAGAGAGAACTTGTAACTTTGAGGCTAAAAATCAAGAATTCTTTGAACTTTTAGATATCCAAAGAAAGGAACTCATTCATCTAACTTAGGTTAGGAGAATGAAAGAGATAAGATCTATATTCCTATGCTTGATCTGGAATTATTTTTTGATTTTGACTCAACAAATGCAATGGTTAGATATAAATCTCTTGCAACTTTGATGTTGAGGAGAAAAGGAGAGAGGACCTATAACTTTTGGGCTAAGCTGAGAGAATTTTCTAGGACTTTCGAATCCATAGAAAAGAAAAGTGACTTATAGTTTTGGTCTACAAGTCAAGAAGCATTCATTGAATTGTGTATTCAATGATGCATGATCATCAACCTAATTTGGTTTAGGCAAATGTGAGCGACAATATGCAACTTAGAAGTTACAAACTAGAGGATGAATCATTGAATTTTGCTTCAATGAAGCATGATTATTTATCAAATTTGAGTTAGGTAAATATGAGAGAGTGGCAATGTAGACTTGAGCTACAAGTCACAATGAATTTTCTTTGGTTCAAAGAGAGGAGTTCGCTCTTCCAATTTGAGTTGGAAGGATAAAATGGAGATAAGATTTTGATTCTTATGATTCACTAAAGCTCTCCTAAACTCTCTAAAATTCATTTGGAAACCTTTATCTGAGTTTAGGAAAACATCAAGCAAGGAGGTTAGAGGATTTACTATGGATTTTAGGCTAAGGAAATTTGAGAAATTCCTACAAATTTGGCTAGTAGAAAATGGAGAGGAAAGTGCAAATTAGGGGTTGAAATTTTGGAAAGGTTTCTTTGAACTTTTGGTGCTCAAAGAGAAAGGACCATTCACTTAATTTAGGCTAAGTAAATAAAGGGGGCTAGGATTTGGATCCTATGTCTAAGGGGTCATTTGTTAATTTTGTACTTAACAAATGAGATGGAAGAACTTAAGGTTTGGTTCTAAGTTCAAGAGCTTCATGCAATGATATTTTTAAATTTTTGGAGGATTTCAAATCATCATGCATATTGAGAGGATGATTGTTTATTGATTTTGTATTTTAACAA